AATAGTCATATAAGGAGCATTGCTTAATAGTCACAGATCTACAAAATTTAAACCTATAATCACAAATCTGTAATGAATTTAAACCTAAATCACAGATCTACAAATTTTTCAAGCATTGAATGGCTAAATGCAGAAATCTATACTAATCGCAAACAAATCTTCATTTAAAGCCTAAATGCAGAGATTTACAAAAAAAACTAAATAAACACTTATCAAATCATCTTCTCTAAGCAAAAAACAAAATACTCAACATACATTTAACTTATTTAACAAAAAATGCATAAAACAAAAACCTTACCTAAGGAAATCCGGCGACGAACCGACGGAGCACGGGAGCAGCGACCTGTGCAAAATGCCGAAGAAGAGAGAAATGGATCGGGAAAGGTAAAGCAGATCATTTAATTAAGATATAAGTCGTCGGATTAACGGACGACTTAGACTCAAGTCTGCTGACTGCCACATCAACTGCCACATCGTCCTCTAGATTGCACCTAAGTCGCCTGATTAATGGACGACTTTGCCTATTCTTAAATTCTTTAATCACCATGCTTAGTATTATAATTAAATTGTTAATTATGCTTAGTTCAAAATTTTTTCCTTTTAAAAATACAGTGATTTTTGTACATCCCAAAATTTATTTTGAACTTTAAAAATAATGGTGTAGTACAATAAAAATCTTAAAACATCGTTTTACATAATACATTGATAATTTGGTAATTTTTTGAAAATATGCATTTTTGCCTAATAGGATTATTTGCTGTCTACCGTTATGATCTTTTGACTTCTTCTAAATTAAGTTCAATTATGTATTATTTATTGCAATGCATTAAAAATGAATGTGAATATGTGCTTAAGTAATAGTTAGTCGTTATTACTGTTATAGTATTATGATAATAATATGCATGTGTGAAACAAACAAGCAAAAAATAGTTAACTCGTTGGTTGGAGATTGATTAACTTGTACAGGATGGTGGGCTGACGGGCTTTCCATTAAATAATGTGGTTTGGTGTTATCCTCTATTAATTCATGTGATATATTAATTGATAGTTATAAGGAGATTATTACTGTGATAACGGACAAAGAGTGACAACTCTATTTATTGAGCTAACATTTTACTAATACTAAAAAATATTGTGATAGCAAGACCTATTACTTTTGTTTAGTGTGACTACTAAAATGAATGTTCTTGAGGCATTATTTTTATTATTGTATAGATTTTTATTACTACATAGATTTATTATTATTGCATTATTCTATTATTATTGACACTGAATTGTTATTATTACTGGTTTAGATACTCATACTATTTGATTTTAATTATTCATTATATTGATATTATGCATGTGATATGCTGAGCATATGATATAGAATACATGGATAGCATAGATACACTCTTATATGATTTTACTGTATTGACATGATTTTGATAGTTTTCATTGATATTTTGATTTGATACTTTATAGAATTTTTATATTTATTGATATTATAGGCACGATGTTTGTTTTATAGATTTGAGACTCATATTATTTTACTGCTTTACTGACTTTAGTATTGTAGGGTTTTATTGTTTGTATATTATACTACTACTGCATGTGAAATTTGTTATTTCTACACTAATTCAAAGATCATATAAAATGATATTATTATGATTTGACTATTAACATGCATATTGCTCATTTACCGTGTTTTGAATTCAGTTGCACGTTTTCATGATCTGTTGGGTTTTTTAAGCTTATTATATGTGATTAAATGATTTCATATCAGGGCAGGGGAGCAGGAGTGTTAGACTGGTTAGGATTCTTCATGTTATATTTCTTTTAGGCCTCGTTTGGGACGGATTTTTCCATGTTGTGCTTCACCGAAAGTAACCCAGAGGTCGTTTGGAGTTAAGCGGAGGTGCTCCGTTTTAAAAATTTGTACGTCCTTCGATTGCTTTTCCCATCCAAAAGAACATCCCTGGTTTCGCGTGATTTTCGCGTGCTTCCCGCTGTTTGGAAGTATAAGAAATACGTCAATACCCTTACAGTTTCCGTCTTCCTCATCTGGCGAACTTCCGCGACCATTTCTTCCTCGTTGTAGCACGACGCTCATTCCTCTGATACATTAGAATCGTTCAGATATTTCTCCAAATTTCTAGTTGTAAGAACTCGATGAGAATGAAACAGAGCTTCACCGACATTATTTGACGAAGCTTTCTAAAGAATTATTTGCATACCCAGCCCCTACTTCTATCGGTTTCTCCGCCTGCTCCCTCCTCCTCCTAACCAGACCAGTTGAAGAGCTAAAGGTCCATCCCATCTTCTCGCGAATCTTGCGTCATTATCCGGAGGTAATTCCACCGAATATCGCCGCTTGGGCATCGCCACTCGTCTACTGGCTGTGCGCAAAGCCTCTTGCACCAAACAATTTCTCCGATTGTTTGTTCGTTATCAGGTTTTCTATCGTCGGAATCAAATAAGTGGAAGGCCGCTAAAGTAGATTCACCAGTGCTGACAAAGAGGTAATCTTTTGATCTATTGATTTATCTGAAAACCTAATTTGATTCTCATTGTGCTGCCAGTTGCTTTTGAGGTTACTTATCGTCCCCATCAAGTTTTTGGTGTCATTGTTTGGGAAGAATTTTTTTTATTTATAAATTTGTTATATTGTTGAATTAGATCTACTCTTACTTTATTAATAATTGCATATGTATATTGTATTGGTTGTTGTTGTCGTTTACATTGCATTTGGTGTTGTTGTTATTTATATAGCATTGCATTTTATATCTATACTACTATTATAAAAGGGGCTTGAGTTTTCACCCATAGTAAATTTTGGCCATTCATTTTTTTTTTTTTTTTTTAAATTATCTAAAACTTTGAAGTATTAGCAGGCAAATGCTACACAAATTTTATGCTTGTATACTTGGTGTTCATTTACTGAATTCAATTTACATCTACTGAGCTCTTTGTAATGCAAATTTTCTCTTTCAAGATCAATGCTTTTACAATAAACCTTTTAAGGCCATGGTTGGATGCAAACAAAATCATAAGGAATTATAATTTTAATGGTTCAAAATGCTGTACAAGGATTACAAATCATTTTTAAAAGGTTGTAATTCTAAAACAACTCAACTTGTTTGGTTAGTAATACATTCGTTAATAGTTAAGTTTATACTTTTCGAAAACATACATAAAAAACTTGATGCTTATGACATTTTTATACAATAAATCAATTTGTTCATGTTATTGTATCACCTATAGGATTAACTATTCTACTTTTTTTTTCATTTATGTACTTAATTTTAAAAAATTCTGGGCTTCTTATTAGGCTATGAAATGGTTCTTGTTATTCTTGCCCATGCACATCCACAGCATTTTATGTAATGGATGCCTCTTGTTCTTTAAATTACTAGCAACAAACATCAATTAGATTGCTTTGTATATTCCCTCTTCTTATAATTTATTAATTTATAATACAGCAATTAAGAAATCCAATGGGTAAACCAAAGGATGGCGGACCATCCGCAACATGGGAGAGAGATGTAAAGATTATATTCTGTGATTTATGTCTAAGGGAGATTGAAGTTGACAATTGACCAACCACGCACTTCAATAAAGAGGGTTGGATAAATTTAATTAAGAATTTTTATGAGAAAACTGGAAGAGAGTATGATAAAGTTTAGTTAAAAAATAAATGAGATCAGTTAAAAAAGATTGGAAATTATAGAAAGAATTGAAGCGTGGATCCATTGGACTGGGTTGGGATCCTAGAAAAAAAACCATTGACGCACCGGATGAATGGTGGAAAAAGAAATTAGAGGTAAATATTAATTTACATATATTTGTATTTTTCAACATTCATACTCTTCTTTTTACTTATTTAAAATGAAATTTATCTTTGTGGGTTGTACCAAATGCAAAAAAAATTAGATATTGTGGCATTGATCCCGAGCTTGAAGATAAGCTTGATATGATGTTCCTAAGTGTTGTTGCTACCGGAGATCATGCATGGACTCCAAGCCAAGGACTTAACAATGAAAATATTACTGCAGATTCTGAAAACATTGATATAGGTAATGATTCTTTTGATGAACCTTCACAAAATCTTGATGAACCTTCACAAAATCATGAGAGCATTAGTGATTGTAGTCAATTGAAACGACATTCATCTACAACTTCAACCGATAAAAAAAGAAAAAGAATACATGGTTCTACATTTCTTCGAAGTCAAATTACACAACTTGTCAATTCTTGTACCAACATTGCCTCAAAAACTAATGCATCAAAGTCAATAATCGAGAAATCCTCCATTTCTGCTGCCATTAAAGTGCTTGAACAAACAATTGAAATATTTGAAGATATGCAACTATATTTGTTCTCCACCAAGCTTCTCGAGGATCCAACGAAACGAGAAATTTTTATGACGATTTGCCCTGAACGACGAGCACTTTATGTTCGTTATTGCTATGGAAATCAAGACACAACAACATCAGAGTTTCATACAGTTTAACAATCAATGACTTTGTATTTTCTTTATTGATCTTTGTAAAATGAACCTTCTGTAGTATGTAGATATCTAAACTATTTTAGTACTATTTTTTGTTAACACTTATCAGGGACTTGAGTGTAAATGATTGGGTTCACGACTCAACGTAAAGTAATGTACCGTGATTCAATGTTCTTTTGAGTTTTCTTATTTACTAGAAGTTTATGCGATTCTGCTGGATGGAATTCTTGCTGTGCAGGGGGAGCTTGCTATCACCATTTAGCAATGATTGTAGTTCTTAACTCTGCTGGGCATAATAGTTTTCTTGTATTACTTCTTGCTTTCTGAGGAGTTTACTGTTTGTCAAATTAGATTGATATGACTCTTGATGCTTAGAGCTATCAAGTGTCAGCTCAATTCATACCAAACCAATGATGCTGTAGAGGATTGTGCTATTTGTTTAGAGATGAAATGGTTTTTTATGCTGCAGATCATATGATGGTACTCAATTCATTTCCAATAGTAACAGAATGCAGCTTCATGGTTTTTTATGCAGGTTCATATGATGGTACTCAATTCATTTCCAATATTAAGGCTTGTTTCTCAAACAATTCTGATTCTAGTTGTTTACCAAAATTCTGTATGTATTATTACGAGAAATTTTTTATTATAAAGTAATATTAGAAAGTCTAAATTTTTTAAAAAAATTAATTTTAACAAATTATTTTGAAGTATGATAAGGACAATGTCAATAAAAATTTATAGTATTTTTATATCGTTGATGTATTAAAATATAGAATATGTTTTTACTGTTTATTGTTGATATATGATATTAGATAGCTTTGATTGTTGTTTATTAAAAGATAAATAAATAATTCTTCCAAAATAGATCATGGGCATCACATATCTATGGTTGTGAAAGTTGAGAGGAGTCTAGGTACCCCCATTTTTAGTTTAAACTTAACTAATTAATGGAATTTCGGGTCAAGCTCAAGCTCAATTATATGAGTTTGAATTGGCACATGAGATGGCTTATATATTATGAGATATAATATGAGGATTCTAACTGAAATAGTTATTATAATAATATGATAAAAAATAAAATATTATATGAATAATAATAATAAATCACTTGAAATAAGGAAGATATTTATAGTTTTAAATTTTTAACATTATTTACTTAATATATTTATATGAATATTTTTAAATGAATTTACTCGTTAGTCAAAAGTCAAGTCAAGATTGGCTAACTATAATTAGCCAAGCTTGAGTAGTAGCCAATCTTGAGTAGACTCATGAGTTATCTTGATTATATTGCAACCCTAATTATAGCAATAGGATGTGGATATACAAAGCACACATGCACATATTGCTCATGTATAGAGAATAACATGCATGCGCAACAATGAGCCTGTGTAAGGTGTCGTATAAGAGATAAAACTAAGATAAGTGTTAGGAGGGCTTCGCATGCATTCATGTTAAGCATGGGAGCCTAGGTATGGTCTAGGGGTGTCAATACTTGACCCAACTCAGAAAATTTTGGGTTTGGGTCAACCCGTTTGTCATGTGGGTCGGGCTTGGGTTCAACAAACCAACCCATTTCAAAAACTGGGTTGAATTTGGGCTGACCCAAAAACCCGAAAATGACTTATAAACTCGTGAGGCACAAGAAATTATGTGTTAATATGTTGTTTGTTCTTTGATTCATTTTGTGACTTTTGATAATCAGCTCTTCCATTATTCACCTCTTCGGCTAATCGACTCTTCTGTTTTCATTCTCTTCTAAGTTTTGAGTTCAATTGTTGATTTATTTTGTGACTTTTGTAGACAATATGTTGCATTTCTCTTCTCAACCTCGTCAGCTCTTCTATTTTTTGTTTCCCTCTTCATTATTGCCTTGGCGTCCACCTCCTGCACAGTTTCTCATTGTTTCTGTAGTAGCTGTTGAACGCCACATCTAAGTGGAAGCTAAAAAATTACACTTGTTTGTATCTTTAATCTCTTTTCCTACTCTACTTAGGGTTTTCAACTTAGGATTATATGGAGGTTAAGTTGGCCAGTTGAGATTGAAATTAGTGTTTTTGGTTTTTTTTTTTTTTTAATACATTTATTTTCCAATTTCATGGTTTAAAATGGATTTATATTGGTTGGAACATGAGATGTTGCACTTAGTTGGGTTGTCTATTTGTTGCCTTGTTGGGTTGATTTCATATTATTTGCTGTTGAAATGTTGAATGATACACTATTATCATTACTCTATTTCCCATTTAGCTGGCTGTTGTGGGTTTGTTTACTATAACTTGTTGTTGTGTGTTTGTTTCCCGTTATTTGTTGGTTTATGCATAATTGGTGTAGTGAATACATGTAGAATGCAAAATGAGTTGTTGATTTACTGGGTTGTGAACTTGTGTAGGTTGTCTGTTGGTTTGAGTGGTTTTTGGCTTTTTAATATGCGTTGCAATTATAGGGCTCAATTTTAATTAGTTTATTTTGAAGTAAAAAAATAAAGTCAAATAGGTTGAAGGGTCAATTCGGGTCGACCTGAACTCGGATCGGATCGTGTTCAAATTTGGGTCATGTCATATGATGACGGATTGGTTTTGGGTTTGACTTGAACCCGACCCAAAAACTCATTTTGACACTCCTAGTATGATGGTAAGATGGAGTGGAAAGTGGTGGTCATATGCATGGGTTGCATGATTGTCTTAAGCTTTGCTAGCTCAATGATGAGCTAACTAAACTAATGCAATGGAGCATGCAAAAAGGTGTGCATGCCCACTGAGGGCCGACATACTAACATTCGAGATTTCGTCTAATAATAAGTAGACTACAACAATCTTAATGAATAAATTGAGCTAGACACTACTAATGAAGAAGTTAGAGATTATTAACAAAGTGGAGATTTTAAAGTGTAATAAAGAATTGGTGATATGTAAATAAATATAACTACTTAGTTTTATCTATGCAAATAAATGAGTATTAAGTGGTATATATGTAAATCCAAAACAAAATTTACATAAATTGGAAAAAAATGAAGTTAAATAATTAAAATCAAATTATTTGACTCATTTTACATATGATTGTTTGATTTAAATTTAAAATTTAATCAAACAAAACTAAATTAAGCAAAGCCAATTTTGAAAGAGCACTATAAAAGTCATCATAATCCTTCGATAATTTGTTAAAATAAATCACCTTTCATATATATAACTAAAACTATTTTTGTATTATAACTTCTTCCTCATAATCATATTGTGCAATACCCCTAACTCTTATGATCATTCTCTTGCTCTTCTCTTGGTCCTTTGGGGAGTATTATGTGGTATATATGTAAATCCACAACAAATTTGAAAAAAAAAAATGAAGGTAAATAATTAAAATCAAATTATTTGACTCATTTTACATAGGATTGTTTGATTTAAATTTAAAATTTAATTAAATAAAATTAAATTAAGCAAAGCCAATTTTGTAAGAGCATTATAAAAGTCATCATAATCCTTCATTAAATTGTTAAGATAAATCACCTTTCATATATAAAACTAAAACTATTTTTGTATTCTAACTTCTTCGTCATAATCATATTGTGTAATATCCCTAACTCTTATGATCATTATCTTGTTCTTCTCTTGGTCCTCCGGGGTTCCTTTATGACTTACTTAACTAATCTAAGGTGATTTTAGCTCATTTAGGTTGAGATTGAGGCTAGGGTTTATGTCTAGCTAACATAAGGCACAATGGCTAACTAGGTTGACTAACCTTAACTCGGGTTGACCTAATAGTGTTAGGTATGGTACATGAGCCAAAATGGCTTAAATGATTCCTAATTGACATAATGAAGGGCTTGATCAACCAATTAGGCTATTTGAGGTCCAAGGATTTAACTTGGCTAGACTTGGGTTATGGACAGTAGATAATGTTTGTCGTGCTTTATATAAGATTGTGTTTGGTCTTAATTGGTGTATCAAATATTAATTTATTCATAACCATACTTATGCTACATTAATTAACCCATGATGGGGTTTCTCACACTAATATGAACACACATGTGAGTTTAATCTGGACCTGGTAACCTTTTCCCATTTTATGTGTATTTGATATCTAATCCAAGTAAATTAGGGCTTTATTTAAATGAGCTAGGTGCATTTGACATCTAAATGAATGCGATTTGACAAATTTATAAAGGGAGTGTGATATGGATGAAATAAATGTCAATATAAGTATTAGCTATATATATGATCAATATGATCAAGCTAACCTTCTATTTATAGTTAACAGAATTCATTTGAAGGAAAATTTATTCCTTCTTAAATTGGACCACTCATTATAATGATATAGCCTAATGTGACCTTTACATTATAACATATAATGTTAAGATATGTGCATTAAATAAGTATAACTTTAGTCAAATTCAATTCATATCATTAAACTAACATCATTAAATGTAAAGGTCCCCTAATATTTAAATATACTTGGGAGGACAGAGCAATCATAGTTGTGACCATCTAGCCAATATACTATCGTAGTTTAATAATATATTCATTTTCTCTTTCTCTCCATAATTAGTCAAAGAGGCATCAATAAGCTTAGGAGATTCCTAGTCCTCTAATTATTTGGATTATTATAGATGGGTTTGTATATAATTCTTTCTCTTATTCGTAACAATAATAATACAATTTATTTCACTACATTTAGGAACAAAATCCTTCAATGGAAAATGAGATTATCAATCATTTAGGATTGTGGGAGAATTGTTTACATACTTTTCACCATTAACATAGGCATTTGTTGTCACAATTCAATCTGACCAAAACAACTCATATCATGTTGAGCTATGACAGACAAACCGCAAGATCTAGTTTTGAAATTATTTCAGATTTTTTGCATATATTAATTGAAATAATGAATAACTTCATAGCTACTAAAATATCCAAATACTGAAAAACTCATTCATAAAGTTTATTTCATTCATCAAAATAAATATATACACTACAATATATGGCTAAAAAACAATAGCTACATAACTG